TATTTATTTATTTATTTATTTATTTATTTATTTATTTATGTATTCATTTATTTATTCCTTTATTTATATACTTATTTACACTTTTTACATTTTTGCATGTTTATTTATATTTGTATTAACACTTGTATCCGTATTTGTATTTATATTTATATACTCAAAGTAAGCTGGAAGCTTCATAATTCAATTCTAGGAAGTAGTTGAACTGTTTCTACTACACCCGTTATACATTCTTATTCAAGCGGCTACTTAAATCAAACTGAAGATATCCTTCTGGATAAACAACAAACCAGCATAAATAATAAGCAAAGCATCACGACGTCCTTCTTTGAAGAGGGAATTTTTAACGAATCAACAAGTTCCGATGAAAAGTAATCTTAACTATGTATTTTTGCGCACACAGGAAATTGAGCAAAATTGTCCCCCTCGAAACTTTGCAGAATACAAATTTAGAAAGATAATTTACAGCAAATTAACTTTGAACAACAGTTAATCCAAAAAATCTCCTCTTACTGAGGTTACAAGAGTAAATTCTGTTATGAACAAAATCAAATGCGCATTGAGCAAGCAGAAAAACATAAGTATTTCGGTTCAGAATCGCCAATCGGTTAATTGGGAAAATCAAGAAACACTGCTATCCCAAACAAATAAGAACCACATCAGCAGCACAATTTCAGTCAGCGTTCTCGCGCAAGGTGGCAATGCGCCAAATTCTATTCAACAATCGGTTTTGTGAGGTGTGCAGTCGCAAATAACGGCTTTACAGGGAGCGCCAAATCTACGTACATTTTTTGGTATTACAGTATCCATAAAACTGCTGGAATTTTGAGATGTTCAAAGCGTGCGATAAAAATATGCTTTCCTCAGCTAGAGTAAATGGAAATATTTGTTTGATAGCATCTAATAAAGGTGTACCCTTAAAAAGGTTGATGAGTCACAGAATACTGATGAAAATCCTCAACAATATCTCTGGTGTTCAGTTGCTGTCGTAGCCACCGACCAAATGTTGACGGCAAAGGGCGGCTATTGTATCCTTCGTACCGCACGAATGACAACTGCTTTTCGGTGATAATTAATTTTTCATTCAACGTACTAACCTTTGCAACAAAACTGATGAGTATATTCTTCATTACGAGCCTATGACTCAGATTAAAAAGAACTAAAAACTAACGAAGAAACGGAACACAAGTGAGTGGCAAGGAAGCAAAAACGAATAGTATTATAACTGAAATGAATAACAGTAAAAAAAGAACAGAACTAAGAATAAAGTGACTAAAACCGAGTATAAGTCAAGGTTCTAAGCCGCCATTTGTGAAATAAGAGGAAGCACTGAAGAATCATAGAAGGTAAGTTACTCAAGCAAAACTCAAGCAGAGCTTCCTGTTTAATTCACTTAAAAACTTCTCCTGCAGAACCTCACTTCTCTTTCCATACCGAATACCGGTTTCGGTGATGCCATCTAAACTGCTGGTTATTTGCCGTTCTGCCAAGAGTGTTTCTTCAGAAAGCGAGTAGTTGCTTTCGCTTAATGATCTTAGATGTTTTGCGTCCTGTCGTAAAACTTCCGAGACGGCAATAGGTCACGCTTTAAGTAAATGAACTTCAGGTTCTGCCGTAAAAGTGTGATGTTACAACAAATTTAGGAAATTGAGGATAGACAAAAGCAATAAAAACAATCTTTTGAGATTAGAAGTGAAAAATGACAAAAAAAGTCTTAAAGTTATAAACCCATACGGTTTTTTATGACGCTCGAGGTTACCTTGACGTCACATGATATCGCCCTCTTAATTCTTTGTTCCGTCCCTGAAAATGATTTTTGGTTTTGCCTTGGTTAAGGCCTTTAAAACTTATTCAATTCTCAAAAAAATTATCGTTATTGCCGCTCTGTTTAGGGTCTTTTGACATTAACAAGCATTTCCATGTAAAAAAAAAACATTAGAAGCCAATGGCGAGAAAAAAAAAACGACGAAGCAAAGAAAGATTGTTATTTAAAAACATTGTTGAAAAAAATAAAAAGCAAAACTCCTTTAAAAAGTACTTACACTAAACAATTTTTCAAAAATAAAAACTAAAATGAAAATTTTGTAAAAAATGTTTACTAAAAAACAAAAATTTTGAAATATTTTTGAACAGAATAAAGCAGTAAAGAAATTTTAAAATAAAAATTTTAAATTAAAATTTTGAAACAAAATGCAGGTTTTGTCGAGTAAGTACCCGCTAATTTCTTCAAGGCAAGATATTTGAGTCGCTTTGTTATCCTAATATACATTCAACCATTTGTTTCCCAATAAGAGGTATCCTAGAGCTGGCCGGAATCTGGTAGTAAACGCTCTCCAATCCTAAGATTAGCTTAAAATTTCTTTATCATTTGTAATGAACTTTCTCTATGGCTTTGCAAAGGCCCACCGCTGACAAGTGCAGATCAAATACAAAATTAACTTTAGCTTAGACTTGTTCAGAACAAATTCTAGTTATGACTTTAAGCGAGAATTCGCAGTCCTCTTCACTTGGTATCAATCGATTTACACTAAATACCTTAGACATTAACATTGCTAAACGATATTTAACAAACAAATTTGCAGCGTCAACCCTAGCAAGGATTAGGAAGACATTCGCCATTGCTCTGCATATTACTAGGTGGTTAAAGCTAACCAGGAGCGTAATCTTTTTCACTGCTCTAAGAAATATGTTAAGCAAGAAAAAGCGGAGAGAGTTCTTGATAAAGCGAAACCGAAAAGCAGTGATTTCTTAATTATAGAATCAGTAATTAGTGAGGTATCGACTGGATAAGCCGTGAAAAAGGTACAAAACACCTGAAGTTTTACGAATGCATCTTTGTTCAAAAACTGGAAAGGTAAATACAACATTTATTAAAAGATAAGTTATAAGACGCACCTTACATGGAAATAGTCCGTACAAAGACGCCGAATTATTAGAAGAAGTATTAAGTAAATGACGGTAAATTGCACAAGTGTTGCTAGCAGTACAAATGTTAGCTAATGTATGAGGAAAAAAACTCGACCTTTTGAATTTGAGGAAATCGGCGGTCGAAAAAAGAAGATTCCTTTCAAAGATTTTTTTGGTCAGTCTTGTCTGTCATTCACTAAATGTTAAGGAGATGCTTATGAGGGGAGACCAAAGATGATGACTCTGAAAGAGAGCGGTCTTCTTTGGTCACGACAGAAGAATGCACAGATTAATGAAAAACCTACTGGTTAGGCAAATCAGTTTAACAAGGAACTTCCAGAGCCACCAAGGATTAGTCGAGTCATTGTCATTTAAATCTTATAACGGAAGATTAGTACCGGCAAAGCAGCTTTGATAGCATTCACTGCGAAAGGATCTGAGACTTTTCAACCGAAACAGCAAAGTATCAATATCCTTATTCCACACAACGTGACCAAAAGAACTGATCGAGAAAACAAATTGAGTATATGACCTTTAAAATGAAATGCTGGAGAAGTTTCCATGACTCATTGGTACCACAAACAAGTAGTCATATTGTTTTATTACAAACTTGTCATGAAGAATGAAAAAAAAGCAATGAAAACAAGAAAGCTGATTTTTCATTGAAATAATGTCTAAAATGTTGATGATCAGATACTATAGCAGCTCAGTGCAGAGCACTGTATCTCTGATGCACGCGGTGTGGTTTCAAGCCTCAAGGAAACTGTAGACTCCGACTAGTATCAGATGAAAAGTAAGGCAGTTTTGAAATTAGCAATTCTGGCTTTCTCGCAAAGAATTGAGATGAAAATTTTTTATCGACTATCAGTATAGTCAAATTAAAAGAAAAAAAAAAGTAAAAACGTTTTTTTGTTATTTGAAATATGTCACTGATACACACCGATTGGTATCAGGAAGTAAGAGTTTTAAAAAATGTTTGACACAATTTACAATTTCCTTTAAATAAAAAGCGATAGTATCTGGCATTAATATTGCAGCAGATAGAAATGTGATTTCCTAAAAAATTTTTCTTGCTATTGCTTTTACACAAACTTTAATTTAGTAGATGTACGTAGACTTATCTTCCAAAATACTTTATCCTAATCTACTTATTCTACTATGTTCCCAAGTCTACTCATAACTTTGCTCTTTTCTGTGACAAAGTCAGAAGTTATTTTACAAATAGTTGTCGTGAGCACTTTAGCTACACTTACAATAAAATAAAAAGAAGATTCAAAAAAGAATAAGGGTGAATAAGCAGAGGTGACTAACAGCTGCTATAACTTTTCTGCGAAAATGGCAAAATGTAATTCTAAAGAAATACGGCAAAATTAAAATGCTTTTGCCATCAATAAAAGCCAAAATTTTAAGAAGTACATTACTTACCACTTGTCTGTCAAAGAATAAACAATAGAAACCCTAGTTAAGCTGATTAGTTAAGAGCAAAAAAGTAGTTCATAGGTTAGACAATTCTACAGTCATATTGCGGTTACCATACTTCAAGGTTGTGTACAAAAGACTTTTTTCAAAAAAATAGAAATAAGACTGCTTTGAGTCAAAGCAATAAAATATAAAAACTTTTATAATTCCAAATGACCAAAGGTGTCCAAATTATGACTCAATTCTGCATTACACTCACAGTAGCCCATTGTTATCCATTTTTGGTTTCTTGTGGCTTTTTTAATGATACAGAATCCTCACAAAAACTCTTTTTTTTACAAAGTCCTGTCTGATGTACAGAATTTGGTTAACAGCACAGTGTTAACTTGAAAATTGTTCAGCTGAACTGTGCCGTTGCAAATTGAGTTTCATCGAACTCTAATAACTCTAAAGCATTATATACATTGATTAGTTGAAAATATGTTTTGCTACGGAACTGAAGATAATATTTGAAAAATTAGTAAAAAAAGCTACTAAATGAATTTAGAATGACTGATTTAACTTTGAAAGACACACCACCTTGCTCCGAAAACTAGTTACGACACAACATAGCTTATTTTCATCTCCAGTAACATTAATCCACAATTCTCATTTTTAACAGAAATTATGTCAAGTGATTTTTCGGTAGTAATGTTTTACCACTGTCTGGTAGTATTACTCTCTCTAAAAAAATTCTTAAACTTAATGCTTATATTAAGAAAAAGAATATTTTTAATTGTTTTGCTAAGAATTATCAATTTTCATACGCGACAAAACTATAAACTCTTAGGTTGCTTTTTAGGTTCAAAAGTATTATTTTGGCAGATTTTTATACTATTCAAATTTTTCAATTTGTTTTCGACAGGCATTCGTCGTAAATTTAAAAAAAGTGTTTTGATATAAGCCATTCTATGTATAAACGGTACCTATCGCTGTAAAACTGTGCAGATTTTCAGTGCTCACTTGTACCCATCGATTTAGTTACTTCTTCAGGATTTTTTGAAATAGAAAGGTTGTAATGCAGGGAAATTCTCAGAATATTTTTAAAAATTTCTAGTAAACCATGAAGAATGCTCTAGCTCCTTCAACCAGACAACTGAACAGCTCATTCCTTGAGCGTTCTAATCACTATAAACCGATTTCCACACTAAATCCAAAACGGAAGGAAAGCCTTGCAAGACTATAACGCTTCATTACGCGAAACAGAGACAAACGAGCAAATAATGAACGTCCTCTTAACCGAAACAGTGCATTAAAAAATTTACTTACTGAGCACCTTGATGACCGAAAAGCCCAACAAAGCAAAACCATTACGGAACTGTAACACATCATAACCATATTACGTTCCAGTTTTAAAAATTAAGATTATCCACGGAAATGCACATTCTGTTTTGGCACCGTACCAGTGATACGCTGCAAACAAAATGACTTTCAACAAACCTGTTATCCCTGCATGTAATTTTAGTTTGAGAACCCTCAAGTGATGGAAGGATATATATAACGGTAGAGACTGTGTTCCCACAAACACAAGTCCTTAACTTACCAGGTCCCTTTTGGTAAGATACAACAATGCGTGGAATCCTGCTGTTGAACTCATATCAAAGTCCAAGAATACGAGTCTCCAACAACTTAAGTCAACAATGCCACTTAGAAATCCAGGCTAACCGACTTCCCAACTGACAATTCCAAGACGGCTGAAGAATTTATGCCACCCCAGATCTTCTCAAAATAGAAAGAAAAAAGCGAATACCAGGACACCGACGACTTCTATGCCCACGAGGAAATAAGGTTACTAAGTCACCACCAAACTAGCCAGAACAAGCACAAGAAACACCAGAAAAAAATAAATGAATTATAAAAATGCTCAAATACCCGTCAACACAAGTACGGACAGAACTCATTGGGACGAGTTAGGATGTTTACTTGAAGTCAGCGTAGCTACCTCCTTACTAAGTTATGTTCTCATCCTTTCAAACAAAACAAGTTTGAAAGGGTTCCACCGTACCCTTTTATGGAACTACTTACATACATGCAAAGAACTTTGTAAATACTGTAAGACTTGAGACCAAACAAAAATACATAAAGTGACACAGTAAAGTGGCAAGAAAAAATGAAGGTAAGGCAACCTAATGTTTGGTTGAATAAAGAAACGCGACAAAATTGAATTTCAAACGAGGTAAAAATACATTTTGAAAAGCTTCAACACGTAAAAAAAGTTGAAAAAGTCGATATCAAATTTAGCAAGGAATTGCATCTTCAGTTTTGTTTCTTTTAATGGCATCAGAGTCTTCATTTTCAGTGCTTCTTTTAACAGCCTTCTTGCGTACTAGCTCAGTGATATCGTCCACAGGCACATCTGTCCTCTTATTCTCGCTCTCAACTGGTTGTTGTCCTGCCAAAGCTCTAGCTAACTTTTCCATTGCAGCCTTCTTTAACTCCTAAAAAAATGTAAAAGTCTAAAAACTTTAAAAATGTCGCTAGCATATAATTGCCTGAAATGCAGCAACTAGCATAATAATCCCTATTTAATAAAGTTATTTACCAACCTCTGTTTCTGCGCTCCCTTCACAATCTTCAATCTTTAAATTTATTTCCGGAATCAGTTCCTTCAATTCCTCCACTTCTTTAATGACTGTCTCCGCACCTTCGCTCTTCATCTCACTGACTTTTTGTTCCAAATAACCTCAAAATTTCAACCAAAAAGAATGAGCAGTTTTAAAAAAGTGCGTAGAACGGGATTTACTGGTTGATAATTAGAAGAATTAACAGAGGTTTATCTATGGAAGGTTCAAAATGAAATCAAAACTTTTAAATATCTGGGGATTTCCAGCAAACGCGTCAACCAGTGAGGCAATATTCTTAGAACCACTCCTAGTGAGGCAGCATGAAGTATCAATGATGTCTTCTAATGAGAAAAAGTAACCAACTTACTGCATTTAGCTATTAAGACTTCCTTGGCCTTCAAGAAATAGCTTGCGGCAGTTCGAAATTGTCCGCTAAGACAACATGCTTGTCCAGCTTGATAGTTAGCTTCCGCAAGCCTGCGATCAAAAGGTTCCAAAGTTTTTTGGGCTAGATCAAGACAAGCACCCAGATCTTCTACTGCTTGCTCATAGTTTTCGCTTTCTAAAGAGCACTGTGCCAAAGTAAGAAGAACTTCAATTTTTTTTTCTTTCCATCCTTCATCTTCAATATTCCTAAATAATAATCCCAAATTACAACAGCACTTCACGAAACTGACAGGTTTAAAGGCAAGACGTACCGGTCACAAACTGCTCTAGCTACTTCGAGAACCTCCCAAGCTAACTGTAAAGGTCCCGCTTCCTCGTCATCCTCGGTAACAGTCTCTTCCAAATCTTTCTTCTCATTAGATTCTCCTGCCGTACTAATGTCAACTGAGTTAACAGTGCTACATTTTCTAACGTCTACAGATGAATCAGGTGCGTCAGCTCCCTCAACACACTTCTCATCTTCCTCTCCCTTAACACATGCTCCGTTCTCATCTTCCTTATCACACTGTTCATCTTCAGATTCCTCAAGTCCAGTTATCTCACGTTCACTAATCTAAAGAATTTGTAACTTAGAATGAGACTGCATAGATTAAAAATAATTAAAGACGAGTATCATTTGTATACTGTCCTCAAAACCGCGTCGAGCAAATAATTTGTTTGAAAAAAAAACGAAAAATAGGACAGAAATATGATAACATCTGTATTCTGAGCGAAGACTAGCAACCCTGGACAAAAAAACCAGCCTTAGATATGACCTAGAAAGCAGAAGGGCAAACAACTTAGATAAGTCAAAAAACTAAACAAACTTCAGTTCGCTGCTCCGAACGCGAGGGTGCACTCTCCTCTTGATTTCCGCTCTGCAGGGCTGTATCTGACTCTAGAAAAATAAAACAAAGGAATGAAACTGCAAGCAATGCGGCAATCGCAATTGCTTTTAATTTTATAAAAGCTTCAAGGGTCTGAGTTATTGTAAGGAAACTATTTCTGAGTAGTTCTAGGACTTCAGAGCATATACTTTTTAATAAAGCAATTCAGCTGTAAAAAAAGCGAGAATGAAATGGGACTACCAGTTTTAGAATCAATTTCTTGTTCATCGCATCCTTCTTCGTTATTTGCAGTATCGCCACCCCCAATCGGTCCAGTAATCAAATTACCTTTCTGAACACGATCCAATTCCAGTAAAACCTTACCGTAATAAAAATGGGGCTCAAAAACTCCTTTATCCAGTTCGCCAAACAGTTCAACTCTATGATGAGGAAGATATATAAAGCTAATGCTCTTAGTATAAAATGCTGTTTAACAAGTTAACAGCAAATCAAAGCAGTCAGAAATGGATTAAAAATAGCAACAAATCCCTATTTTTCTCATCAAGTGAAACCCATCGCAGAAAACTGCTTCACAATAAGAAAAAAAGTAATTACGAAAGTTGGGCAGCATTGCTAAGATGATCAGCAGCCGGTTGGTATTCATTCAGCGTAAACGCTCGTTTCCCCTCTGCTAAAGCAGTCTCGAACTCCTGCTTTTTACTGCAGTAAAATAGATCCAGCTAACTACGAGGTAACTTACGAAGCAAACACGAAAAATTTTAGTAAGAGAAGAAACCTACTGTTCAGAAGAATTATTAGCGGTTGGGTTGTTCACTAGTGCCATCATGAAGAATAACTGAAAAAAAAAGCAATTATGAATGTTGGAATATTGTATTCCAGGGACAGGGAAGCAAACTGAGACCAAAGAAGTGCAGCTTTGCCACCGGCACGACTAACAGCCAGTTTTGAACAAACATAGAATCAGGTAACCATTATTTTAGAGATGTTGTTCTAAGCCAAAATCAGTAAGGCTTTTTCAACTAATATGGCGAGGTAGTATTCGCAACTTACGAGAGCAGTGGCAAACAAAATCAAAAGAAAATCCAGCCAGTCAAAAAATGAAATAAAGCAAAGGTAGAAGAGATAGGCAAAAAAGGCACAAAAAACCCCCCGACATTCCATCTGCTCCGAGTAACAGGGATGTTTGCATCATTTGCGAACTCATAAACGTAAATTTAACACATTTTATTGTACCTTCAATATGGATTAGTGCTATTTTAAGGGTACCATCTATACTGGGTCATTTTCCTGTCACCCAAATGAAAAAAAAAAATGAGGGAAAATTCAAATTAGCCTTTCAAAACAATTTAGACGCCCAAAAATTGAAGTCCATTCTTGGTGGATTTATAAGAGGATTTTTTCCGTGAGAGTGGGAAGTCCTTTGAAAAAGTTGCCATCAAATTTGCAATAAAGACCTTTGAACGCTTGGAATGGCTTCTTGTAGAATAGGAAAGTTTTTTATTTTGCTTTCTTGACACAAGTGTTTGATCTCTCTTTACTGAATGGCTACTGATTACCAAAGCCGAGATCTTATGTTACAGAAACCTTGTGGCGGGAAGGCATAAGTCGCTGAAGAGATCATCACTTTTTAGCAAGACATGGTTTTAGATCCATTAAATTGGGCCATGAAACAGATGGAGGACTATAAGATCTGGAAACAAATCCAAGAACATAGAAGAAGCACAAACCGCATGAAGACCAGTGTTTTCTACATGTTTTCCTTTTTTTTTTCTTTCCATATTTTCAAAACTAGGAATATGCGGTACTTAATGATCGGACTAAAGTTACAATTAAATGATGTACCAAAATGTTTCAGAAAGATTTTTACATAGCAGAAGAGACTATGTTTTCCTGGTACAAGAGTTGCTCTTTAAATATCGGTGAAATATACGACCATTCCTGCGGGCCACAGATGCACAATTTCTTGACCACCTTAACTACTTTTTTAAAAAGCCGAGAAGTCATTCTTTCCACCATATTCCATAATGAAGGAAATTTTGAATGCAAAACGGTAGGAAAGCACAGAAAAGTTTCTGAAGATAATGAGTGGTGAGAAAAAATGTATGCGGACTGGCCTTTAATTCCTAACGATCTCATAAATAATCTGAAATATTAATCTTAAAAGAAAAGAAAAAGAAATTATACCTTACATATCCGGTGATTCGCAGGAGACTCGAATATCCTCAGACTTATTAATAGCGCTGTAACTTCCGCCGAAGCATTTCCAACAAGTTTTTGATTTTTCACCAACTAATTGGAAAGAGTCATACATATTTTGTTGATACCGTAATGTTAAGATGTATCTATATGCAGCCATTGAATGTTATCGTTTTATAAAAGAGTACAAGATTCTCCAGACGACAAGTGGGTAATGGCTTCTGATGAAAAGGAATATAACTGTGCAAAACAGGAGTTTCCTCAAAAAAATCCCTCCCAGAAGTAATTTCATTATCTTATAAGGGCAAATTCTTATTGGCAAATGCAAGTAATAGTGCGGCAACATTATAGTTTGAGTGTCTTTTGAAACGATTTGATGCACCGCAAGTTTAAACTGATTGTTTTGAATATTCAGGAAGCCAAAGGTTTTAAAAAAGGTTGATTCATTCTGCAAAAATGTCTGATGTCAACATTATGTAAAAGACACTGAGTGTCGTATGAATTAAAGCAACAGTAGGATGAAGTAACTAGATAAATCTTGATGCATAAAATAGCTTGTTATCTGTATTATCTCTGAACCATTTTTGGAAAGCTAATGGGGATGTGTAGAGCCGCGAACAGGAAAAATATTTGCAGCAGTACTGTTGTCTGTTAGAATTAAATCGGTGATTAGTTTCTGTTTTAAAATAGTCACTGATTCTTCAAGTTTCTCAAATTGTTTAGCTGTTGCTAATATTTTCATATTCTCACCTCCAGTCTCCGAGCATACTCTTACAAAAAAGTTTCTTATCAAGTAAACAGTCAATGTCAATTGCGACAATAAAGCAAGAGAAATAAGAATACTTTGAACAAAATTTGCAGCTCTAGACTACCGGTGTTGTGCCTCACGAACGTCTGCTAAAATTTTATCCTGAAAACTGGTCTCAGTGTTCTTAATTTCAAACGACAATAAGCCGTACCTACTTGACGACACCGGACTTCTACAGAAATATATTTATTATAATCCTTTGGATTGGTTGGATACGTTCTAGATGGTCTTAATCGTGGACAATTCTCGGTTTATTCTTCAAGTAGCATTCATAATTTGTTTGTACAGTGCAGCATATGACAGAAGGCGATATATGCTCAGAAATCTCCGCTAATAATACATCCATTATATCTTCTTCTTTTAAAAATTTAGCAATTTTCGTGCTGCGACATACCTTGATTGATCGGTCTCAAGACGAAGAAAAAATCAACTTTACCAAAACTAAATTAGATGTCAGTTTTTAAGCAACTGAAAAATTAGTTTGTAGGCCTGAATTGGTTTTTTTTTGAAATAAACTAATTTTGAAATCACTAAAACTTTTGAGTCGACAGTGTTGAGCAAATTATCAAAAGAAAGCAGTGTTAAAACATGGTATTTTCAAAGTAATTTCAAATAACTTATTTCTTACCTTTAATTTTTGTCGGCTTATAGTAATCAAAATCTGCGGGTGTTTTAATCAAGAGCCCAATAAAACTTTTAAAATTATTTGATCATTTTGTGCAAGATTATACTTAGAAAAAGGAACGGAGTGCAGTCTGGTGCTATCACTTTGTCTGCAGTTATTTTATGATAAACAGTTTCTTGTCTGATCATCTTATTTGCTTTAAAAAGTGCATTAATTTGGAAACAAAGAGTAGTTTTCTTTTTAATTAAGCAATACAATTATAGTACAATTATTGCATATAATTTTTCCTGGAAAAACCGCTGTATTAAGAAAACTGTAGTTCCTAGACACTGTTATGTATAGAATTTTAGTTGCTCAAAAACCTAACTTACAAGAAACTTTTTCTGCTTCTCTGACTAAAGTAACTTTTGCATCATTTACAAGTATCAATTTCTATAAATGCTCTCATATTTCTTCGTTGAAATTCACTATTCTTTAAAAACTTTAAAATGAATAGATTCCAAAGAAAATTTTTATATATAAATGCCTAAAGTTCATTCCTATTTCAGCATCTTCAAATTCTGCTGTTGGTTTATGTTGTTGACTACAACGAAAGAAGATACGGCAGTTGTTACAGATTTTAATCTGATTCATTCGATAGTCTCCAAATTTTTCATTTCTGCTCTCTTTCACCTCTATTGCTGCAGTTTATTTTTTTCAAAAATTTCATCTATTTTCATCTGAAAAAATTGTCTGCAAACAAAATGAAAAATTAATACTAATCTTTTAGCAAATGCCAGCAACTTTTTTTTTTTTTTTTTTGACGTATTTGCTAGTCTCAAAAAGGATTAACTTAGGAGCCAGTAGTTTAGTCAAATTTAATACATCGTGAATCATTTCTAACAACTGTAACAACAAGAACTAAATATAATTTAAAATAGAACAAACCTTTATTCGTTCCAATAACAACTTTCCTTATTATTTATTAGTCATACCTCTTCAGCATTTCAGCTACAGTTCCATCAAAAAAACAGCGATGTGATGGAACTGACTAAACCCAGCGAGTATCCCAGGAGGTTTCAGAAATATATAATGTCTACATATAATTATTTATGAGCGCCGTCTGTTTTGATAAAAAAAAGCTTATTTCCCAACAACACAACAAATACAATTTACTGAGCTTTATGGTTTTGTTTTTTCATTTAACTAACAGTTTTTTTTCACAGTTTTTAACTCCCATCCGCAATTTTCTTTTGCCCTCATCAACCATCCCCACATTGATTTCTGGTAGAGTTTAGAAAAATCAAGTGTTAGGTGATAGTGTTCTGGGAATTAAGACCCAAAGAGTTGAAATTCCTCAGCAACAAACTATGATTAATTTTTGTTTTCTGCAGGTTTTATTCCGCAACATCGTGTTGCGATGTTTCCAAGATTTGTTAAATAGATGAAGTAAACAAATAGGGACGTATTAATGTCTTTTTATAAATTTAAATTCTGCTTTTGCCTATGAATAAAGAATTTGTAAATTTTTCTTTTTTTCACTATTTAGTTTTTAATTTTTTCCTTTACCCCACGCCTCTCCGTCGGTTCTTCCATTATCCGCCAAACGTCCATCCCACTTTCTTCAGTTTTGCAAATACCACTGATTATTGCAAATATGAATTTCGTCAGTCATGTAGCAGTTGATTTTTTTGTACTTATAGATGAAAATATATTATTTTTTTCATTTGGCAATTCTTTTTTTAGTGTCTTACTCCTTTAGGGTCATTTTTAATTACCTATTTTGGGGTCTTGGCGGTTCAGCCCTAGGGTTACTATACTAGCTTCTAAGGTGTCAGTAGGCAGCAAGAGATACTGACGGGTATGGTTTGGAAAACATTCTTTACATTCTTCACAGTACTCCTAAACTGTCATCTATTTCACCACTGCAGCTTATTTTTACCAACAGGTATCATTGTGCTACAGACGTCGGCTATCACGATTACGAAGTTTAGTATAACTGTGAGTCATACAAAGGGAGGCAAAACAAGAAACCCCGTTGAAATCCTAGAAAGTCGTGAAAGTAATGGGCATGTCACTTAATGCAGTCGTCGTCACCTTACCCTTGAAACTTCACCTCAAATGTCCAAGTGAGATAATGCTCGGGTAATAAGCCACAGTAATCACTTTAATTCATAGTAATTCGGCTTATACGAATTTCCTCAGCCTCATCATTGCCAACACGTTTGACAACTGACAGTTTAACGTGAAATGCAACCACCACCGCTACCCGTTTTTCATCCACCTGAGTAACTCAGACAGAACTGCAGTATTTTTCAGAATCATACAGTCGGCTGCTAAAGCTGTTGTAACGACCATCGCAATTCCTGATTAGAGCCTCAATTTTTGTTACCGCTGAGGCAGGGACTGTTTATTATCATTGCCATTGTTGCACATTCTTTCTTCTTGCTGCTTTACTTTTGCTTGGCCAGAATACGAATGGCAGAAAGTAACTGTTGTTATATGCATGTTCCACGTCCCAGATTTTTAACCACTTGTTTGGGTTTCAACAACAAGTCAAGTTAAATAAATGGAGAATGTAACCAATAAGTCTTCGTCCCCATTCTTATACGTACTTCATTCCAATTTCCTTTAATAGTCATTTCTATTCCACCGAGTTACTTCACATCCTTTACTGCACCTTATATCGTATTCCTAACTCAATCCCAACCTCCGTTCCTTTTTCGCTCGTCGTCACCCTACCCTTGGAACTTGACCTTCGCACACTGTTCACGACTTTTACGTAGGCAAGACTGATAACAGGGCAGATAAAAGCAAAAGTTTTCCGATTAGATATTTTCTTTGACAAGTGATACACTTTCATCGTTTTTTGGCTTCTCCTTTCGCCTGGATACCCCCTGTTAATGATTTTCACATGACATACTGCCGTCAGCAACCGCAGTCAGCGATCACTTTGACATGTAAATGGATATCTTGAAGAAGCCTCAAGAGATAATAAGTAATGAGAATGATGTGCTCATTCGGTTACTTGTTCCTCATTTATCAGTTTTATTCACTGAGAACACGGATTTTTGTTCCTCTCTTCAGAACGTTTTACTTTGATGGATCATATTTCACTGCACTCTACTGAAAAGTGGAAATTCAAAAACAAACAAAATTCTTTCTGTTGTTGCAAGACTGTTTTCGACTACTTAAAAAAGAGAAAAAACGTTATAAATTATAGCAAACTATTTCTTTAAAAATAAACTTTTCCTGTTCTTTTAAATTGAAGAAAATCACTTAACAACAGATGAGAGAAAGAAAAATGACCATAAATCACAGCATTGAACACGAACTTTTTGAAAATACAAAAAAATTGTCTATTATCTCGTAGGAAAAGTAGTGTAACGCATTTTAAACGTTATGTTCTATTACTGTTAAACAATAACTTTCAAACCACAAAAGTTTTACCGCAATATCGTAGGAAAATTGGATTCTACAGGGTCAATTTGGCGCTTCCAGTAAAGCGGCTCCATGACACAACTACAGGCAGCTTCAGCCAAAAATTTAGCTGGAAAGTAGCAATCTTAAAATACCTCTGAAAGCAAAAACAACGATATGAATGCCTCAGGTTTAGGTACTTCTCCTCCCATAATTCAAAATACTGTTTTTTCCACTTTTCTGTAACAAAAACTCGCTTTTTGTTCCTTTTCATTAAAAAATCTTAGATTTCATTACCCGCAACGTGACTAGTACGCTCCATCTCTATGCCCTTGCCTTTTTCAATAAATAAATATTTATTTATTCTTATACTTCTGTTCATACGCTTTCACTCATTCATTCATTCATTCATTTACTTTTTAACGATAATTTTCAAAAGGATGCACTTCTTTTAACTTTGTTTGTTTTTCAGTGGCGTAAATGGAGCATTGTGTGAGACTGGAAGAAATTATAGCAGGGAGCAGTAGAGCAGTTTGGTTTCCAGGAAAAGAAAGAATGAAAAGAAGTTTTTCTACGCCACTGTTCTCCACTCCGCTTTCTTTTTTCATTTCATACTCTTAAAGTAAATGCCGAATTATTTACGTTGGTTTAACTGTTTCTTGATTTTTCTTCCTAGTTCACCTTTGATGACCCTTAATTCAATCTTTTGTCTGTTAAGGTCCCAACAGAACATCGTCGTATGCTCACTTAAAATTTTCCTGCACTTGCTAGTTTTCAGTGAAACCAAAATACACTAACATCTACGTTGGTTGCGTTACCAGTGGAAAAACTGTTTGAAATACTTTTAACGAAAATTTTACTGCCATAGTCCAAAGTTCCCGAGTCGCACTCCACTCCACTTGGTCCATCTCTGATTCTTCTTTTTTTCCTTTGCCGTTATTTGTTCCATTTATGTCAAAATACAAAAAAATAAAAAAGATTAAATCGTTATGGATAAATAAGCTTCTTCTAGGCTCATGTTTGTATCTAAAAGAAATTTGTGAAATGTGCAAATGTTACTGAGTATCATAAAGGGTAGCCAGATAAGATTCCTATAAAAGTAACGAGGAATGATAAAGATAAGGTCCGAAAGCCTAGGCCGCTTAAATCTTTATAGATTGCTGTTACTGCGCAAATGATTGAAGAACATCAACATGGTTTTCTTTTCTACTGATCATCCACTACAGGAATCAAATACAGTTTATAAGCTTTATCATGCTACATTCCCGTTATGATCTTTCGAGGTGTTTAGTACCGGTGTTAAAAGAGCCTATTCTGGATCACCAACGATTGAAGTAAAATCATAACCGCTCTGGCAGAAAGAGAAAATGCCGCCGTAGCAGTCTATTATCAGACTCTTTTTTTTGTGAGATGAAACTTTTATTTTTTCCTCTTTATAAGTAAAAAAGTTGTGACACAAGGATATCTTTCGTACAGTTTGACGAAGCTAGACAGGCTTCCAGAATAAACTTTTTTGACTCCCGCTCTCTTCAAACGACAGTCGGTCTTTGAAGTGTTAGAAAATTGAACCGTATGTAGTGGTTGGGGACTTTCCTTTTGAAAGTTTCTTTGTCTTTTACCTTCTGTGGCTTTACTCAAAGATATGACGACCGGTCGCTTTTCTTTCTGCGTACTTTTCTGAATGTCGTGTGCTTTACAAAAATTTTCGTTGTGATAGAAAGTAGGGTGAACATTTCATCAAATCTGCTTCTTTCAGAAAGTCCCACTCAATTGACATCTGTCTACAGCTGTTCTAATAATCAATATCAATTAAATTTTTTAAAATTCAAAGTTGCCAAATTTATATATTTTGGAGAACAAAACAGGACAGTGATGCTATCAACATTCTGGGGGTAATGAACAAAAATTACGTTGCTACAGCATGTTCTAAAGCCGCGTTTGACCAACATTCGATTCATAATACTACTTTTACTAGGCTCAAGCAGCTAAAGAGAACAGACATAAGTTTGAATCTCGTTCCTCAGGTCAGAGTAAAACTATAGGCTAGAATATGGATATTCAGCTAAGAAATTTTAAACCCCTTTGCTCTCATTAGTCAAATCTAACCATATTCTTTTTTTCTTAACACGTATTAGTATTGTCACATTGATAAACTTTCTCGGTTAAACCCTTAAGATTAGGAACAAGACGTTGGTCATCAAAAAATCCGTAAATGCTGTAGTTTTTACATTTTCATACTGAATATGTAATTTAAATAAATGGAAATATGAAAAATTATTTTCCAGCGCATTTATTATCTTCGATATCTTTTAACAGTATCAGTGACTGTATTTACTCGGAACTACTAAATTTCGCATTATTTTTAAACTCAGAAGTAATTAACAGACTAAAGTCGCTTTTACAAAATACTCCTTTGCTTTTTTCGCATCTTCTGTTTTCCTGTTGATTTAGATCTTTGGCCTCTTCATTAAAAATTCTGCAAAAAAGAAATGCTAAAACCAAACAGCTGCTTCCCTGCAAACCTGTGAAGAGAAAAAAACTGAAGTTAATCGTCCGTTACTTAAGAAACTATCCAATGTACGGTAAAAACAACAAGCACGAGTAATGGCAAAAGTGAGTCCAATTTAACAAGTTTCCGTAAAAAATGTTCAGTTTTTCTTTCAGTTGTAATAGCTGCTAAGATCGTCGTTACGATAGGGACGACGCTATTCGAATCGACTGGCCCAATTTATTGCTATGCAAAAAGCTGAAGTCAAGAAAATGCTGACCGGAATAAGATACGTTCAGATGCCTTTGCTGACGTCAAATGCTGTTTTTGACACTACTTTTTGCTATATTACTTTCGGTATTAACATTCCATTTTCGGAAGGAAGCGATGGAATAAAGGCGAAAAAAAGCGACGACGAAGATTTATATCATTGGTTAAAATACCCAAAAAGTAACTTGCAGATACAACAAAAGGCTGCTTCATGACCGTCGTTCTCCTTAATTTTTGTTTATACGTTATGCTCTGTTGTTTTAAACACTCCTTCGCTTCTTTTTTCTCTACTCGTTTATTTTTAGTAGGAATTTACCAACGTTTTCTAAGCAATAATCTGTTCTTTAAGAGTCAGTCATTTTAGCTTTAGTAATGCCAAAGACTCCTGTTGTTGCCACCGTTGGTGAGCAAAAAGCATCGTTCACCTGGGTGCAAAAGCCAACAATTGCAAAAGACCAGCAACCAGATATCTGCCGCTAACAGTAAAGAGTTAACGGGGCTTCCGCATGCCACAACATTGCTTCGACTAACTCAGTTGTCTACTACTAAGCTGCTTTGCATTACATAGACCGCTATTGTTTACTCGACGTTTTCCATGTCCTCTTTGTTGACCGCCGTCTTTGTTCGCAGTCACTGACTTTCACAAATACAGAGTCGGTTTTGCTTCCTTCACTTTTCAGCGGCATTCTTGTACGGAATTTATGATTTTAATTTGCTCCACTGGGCAACTATATTGGGAAAATCGGTGTAGATTTTTTTGTTTACACCCACTCTTTGTACCATTAAATTTTTTTCGCACTCAAGTTTATTCGCTCTTACTAGCAACTGCAAGAACAAATGGCAACAAAGGTTTTGCGAACTGAAAGATAAAAGCTCAGTGATTGTTGAATGATATGTTTTCGAGTTTTTAAAATCTTTAAAATTACATCTTTAAAAAAACGGCCCGCAAAACAACAATAAGCAAAAAAACTGGAGAACCGGCAACTGGAACAGAGTTTGTAGATTTTGTGACTGGGAATTGTGGCTCAGCTAGGAACATGTGACTTCCGCTGGCTCTGATCCAAAACTGCTCCACTTTTTGCACCATCTATCTGCCGACCGGTACTTTGACGGCTACCTGGTCTACTTTTGGGTGTTTGCAGGTGGTCGTACTACTTTACAGTATGGTAAGTTGACTGTAAACAAAAGTGATGTCCAGCAGTGAAGGCGAAAAGTTAGTGGCTAGCAGTTTTTTGTTAAGTTCTTGTAATTTTGATACCGTTTATCGACAACACTGGCTTCATTCATACAAATTGTTCTTTGTTCTGCTGTTCGGTGCAGTTTCGATCCAGATTATACCACTTCATCTGAAAATACCTGGTTTACTGTTTCGTGTTGTATTTGTCTCTCTGTTCGTCGTGTTTCTTGTATTCTGATTAATTTTTCGTGAGTTTGTTGTCTAATATATTCGCTTCTTTTCGTTCCGTCTCTCTCCATAGAGCTAACTAACTTTAAGTTCTTTAGTAGCAACTAAAAAAAAAAGATTCTGATTAAAATGGAAGATTATAAGAAGTGCTGAAGGATTATGATTCTTGTCTTCCGCTTAAACCCTATTAGTTTACTGGCAAACAAACTGAAAAA